ATTGACCTTTACAATTTTTTTTTTAATGCAAGTTTTTGGAGTGGAAGGAATTATTACACTCAAAGGTATTGCTTTAGCATTCAAAATAATTCCCATATTCTCAAATCAGTTAAATTGAAACAACAATACTGAAAATACAAGAGTAAAAATAGGATTACATGGCAAGAAATAACACTGTGGTGGATTAAAAGTTCGGGGCTTCTAGGCCCTGTTATACTAAATGGAATTTCCACTATTTTTTATGTCAGACATCCACAGATTGCTGTTACCCAGCCTGCATGACAACAGCAAGAAGAGACGTGAAGGATTCAGGAGCCCTTTATCACAGCTAAAGAGAGAGGGTTGCAGTAGCAATAGATTTCCTTGGTCACAAAGTGTAGAATCACAGGACAAGTCACAGTTTAAGGGTCTGGCAAACAGGTAAACTAAACCTGGGTAAACCACAGAGCTTTATCAAGTGGTTATTGATTTAGTAATGATTTAAGGCTACGGTGGAAGAAAAACCCAGGTGTCTTCTACAGTCCCAGTACTAAATGAAGAAACTCCAATCCGGTTAACTTCAGAGCATTAGCATCACCTGCCTTCTTTTTTTTATTTTTAAATATAACAAGGAACCAATAATTTTTGCTAGCTGGACCCTATAAAAATTGTATTTCAAGCCAAACATGTTTCCTCAGCAAACTTGGCGAAGAGCAAGCTAATTTTAAGGATTTCCTTAAAAATTTTATACACTTACATTTGTTTGAAAGCAAACTAACTTCCCAGAAGCAGAGGGCACTGATCCCCACCTTACTTGAAATTCCTCAATTTCTTGCTGGTCTTTGTTTTTTTTTCCTGCTTGAAACAGCAGTTCTAGGGAGGCATTACTGAAAAGCAGTGCTTCTTTCACGATGCATGTAAATTCCATATCTTTTGGGAAACAAATTATGTTGAATGCCACAGACAGAAAATGTATCTGCTATGAATTTGCAATTTGCTATGTAATTTATGTCCTTCTGTTGGTTTTTTGGTTTTGTTCGACAGCTGTGTTAGTCAGAGCATACAGAAATTAGCCTTTTATTGGACAATTTTATTTGACCGAGGAGTTCTGTTCAAGTGATGTAAAAAAAAAATCCTGACAATCCAGACATTTTGTTCTGACAATATTACCAACTTCTGCTAAAGCATTAGTACACAGCTGAATTGCATGGCGTATGTACTCAAGTTGGTAAGGCTTAAATTAGCAAGCCATTATGTAAGCAAATTTTAAGCATAATTTAAAGGAACTAAATGACAAACTCCCTGAAAAAGCCACCTGACATACAATTAAGCAAATGTTTCCAAGTTGTCTTTCTTTCCAAGTATAAATCACTGACATTATACTAAAATGAAAACAATCTCAGTGAAAGCCAGATCAGAAATAGGACTCTCTTCTGCACTGATTACCAGCATTATTTTCTGCAAGCACATACTACTAAGTTCAGTGACATAAATTCTCTTATATTTATAATATATTTTACATCCGGATTTCCCACCAGTTGTCCTTTACATATGTAAATAGAAAAAAGAGAAAATAAACTGCTCTATTCTGCAAAATACAGGAAAATTGTAACAACATTTACCATTTGCTCCCAATTTTTTTCATTTGAAATTTGATAAAAAATAGTAATCCAAATGAAACCTCTACAATGGTAGACTGATTGTTATGGATAATTATATGGCCTAATCTGGAACATGGATCTTCCACCTAATTTTGTCAATGTCATACATATTTCACTTAGTTCAATACACTCACAGCCCCTCACAAAATACTTGAATTTTGAGCCAAAGAAACTACCTTTGCTCATTCTTTTTTGTACCCTAAAATGTATCTCCTTTTCTATAAGGAGAATGAAACACATATCAGGTGATCACAAAGGAAATACGTATTTTAATGTATTAAACCTAACCAAATACTGTAAAAAAATTTTTACAGGAATGAGGAAAGAAAAGAAGTTGTATTTTCAGTCATTTTGCTGCTTTACAAGGTTGTGGTACCATGGCAGGGAAGAACAGAGAAAGCAGTGGCATCCACGCCATCAGGAGGACTGAGGTTGGACCCTTCCCACCCCTTACCAAACTATGGGCAACAACTAGTTGGGCATTTTGCTGACTTCTCCGCTGCCCAAAAAACCAAAATATTTCACACCACAGGGGAGAGTGAATAGAACAGAAGGAAGTAACTTAAATGCACTACCATTCTGGCAATTAAAATCTCGGCGTACGGAACACAACTAAAAGGATTTGAAATGAAAGTGTAGGCCCTCTATAAGGAACTAAAACCGCATAGAATATTCTGCCAAAACAGAAGTGTGAACTTTCTCTCAAAAAAAAAAGAAACCTACCTGACTTCCTTCTGAAATGTTATCTTGCATAAAATTGAACTAAACCCATTAAATGTGGTCTGCCTGCAACTATATGAAAGGAGAGCAAACTCAGATCAGAAGTACAAAGAGCTAACCAATACTCAAAAAACATGAAAGAACTTCAGAAATGTACTTGAGTATGCATTTTGACATTTGAGAACAAGAATCACTGAAATTCATGTAACTCATTAGCCGCTAGAATATGCCAGTTATTGCCAATTAATTTTGGAAGTGTAATGGAGTAATTTCTTGATCAGCCTAGGATGCCTACTAACTCTCACTACAAGATGTTTTGGGATGTCCTTTATGATTCTAAATGAGGAGAGAACATATTATGTTCTGCAATATATATTTGAAAAAATCCTTAAGAAATATTTGGCACATATGTGAAAAGGTCAAGAACAGCTTCAAAGCATTACATTTTTAAAATATTTAGCTACAATCAAGAACTGCAAGGACCTCTTAGGGACCTTGTACATTGCCCTACAGCCAAAAGCAACCACACCATATAAATCCTTTCCTAACCTCATTAAATTTAGCCTTTAAAGTTTTATTGGGTGCTCTTCTTCTTTCCAGTAAGCCACATGAAATAAATTCTCAAGGCTTTAATGCTTGTAAACATCTTTTTTCAAGCAAGGAGTGTTTAGGACCAAGTTGTACACATTTGGTCTCATGTATTCACTGTCTTCTATACTTATTATTTAAATTTTCTGCATTTCTACATACCAATTCCATACTTCCAGGTATCAACTATAATTGCTTTAGGTCTCGTCCCCTTAATCTCTCCAGCCTTCTCTCACATGAGCAGCTCTCCATTTCCTGAATCACCCTCTGATTGACTTTCTTTGTGCCTGTCAGAGTTTGTATTTCTAAAAGATGGGTAATGCATGGGAAACAACACCCCTGGTGAGGTATCATCCATTCTCCAACTCTTCAGGAAACACCTTGAATCTAGGTTAACACTTGACTTTTCCTGAGCTGACACCTCGGTAATTCACACTTCAGCATCCTTTCCAAATGATGCACCCTTAACTTGAAGAAACTTGGTGCATGGGTTTTGTGTCAATATAATTTATTGTGGTAAAATATTCATGTGGATATGAATCTAAGGGATAACACTAAGGGATAAATATGTTTTAAAAGTTTTTACTGATATGAAACTTGCCATATGTAATTAGTCAGGAATATTGAGCCATTGAAAATAATTAAGAAATGTTGCTCATGTTGCTCTATTTTAATTATAGCAATTGTTCTAAAACATGTTATTTTTAGGTATGTATTAATATTTTGAAATGAATTAATTCTATATATTACATTAACTTTTAAAGAGAGACACAACAAAAGCAATGGTATTTTAAAGAAGTGATCCCCATGTTTCTCACACACTCAGGACTAGTCATTATCATTAACTTTTCAGCTGTTAAAGCGAAGTAGCTCAGCTTTATCACACCATGTAGAATTTATTTTCACACATTACTATTATGACATTTTCTTGGCACTGGAAGCCTGGAGTTCAACACCTAAACCAACCTAAACCTTTAGGAAAACCTGAACTGAGACAAGTGCACATGACAAGGATGCATTTAATTGAATTTAGGACAATCCAAACAAGTCAGACATGTCTTCAGAGTAGCACTAATACTGACCTACTAAAAACCTACTGCAATACTCAAATGTGATAGAAATAAACTTCTCTGGGAATTAAACAGTGCTAAATTTCAGGTTACAGGTATGCTAGTATTTAAATGGGGGCATAACATCACTTCATATAAGAAGCATAACTCAACAAAGAAAGCATCAAAAACTACACTGGATTGTAAATAATTTACACTTGTTTCAGCTGAGGTGCAAGAAAAGCTAGCTCATTTCCACACTTAATACTCCAGTTAAAAACCTGGTCTACCACTTTTGGCAGAACTGCCCCAGAAGAGGTGGTAAATGCACGTGCACTGTTCTGCTCAAGCACTGCCACACCTGATGCCACGCACAGGGTGCAGACATGAACAGGGAGCTACCCTCACCTGCTTGAGACAAGGCACAGGCAATACTGGTGAATATGCCTGTACTTGATCATAAAAGTTCTGCCGATTTTTGAAATTATAACTATGCATTCAAAAAGGATTCGCTCCACCTTGCTCACAATACTTATGTCCAGTTTGTTTGCCTATATATAGTATTAAAAATGTCAATCAAAAAGCTGTTTTTACAAGAATTCCCTGAATATCTGCTGCAACCAGAAGTGAAACAAAGCAAACAATGAAAAATCACAATTAAAATACTAAATTAGATTTCCTGAAGCTGATGAAAGGACATTGCATGCAAAAAGTCAAAACTGTTAACTAAAGACGTATTTATGAAAAAAAATTGCATTACGCTTTTCTTGTCTCCTCTACCTTTTAGCCTATAAGTAATTCTCAGTTCTTAATTTCTTTTATTGTCATAATTTTGACAACAGTCTTGGGTTTCCCTGTAGAGCTGTCTTCAAGGCCTGTGTTCAGCTAAAGGATGTGTAGGGCCTGGGTGTCAGGATTCCTGTTTTCCCCCCTCCCCTGTGGATGATTATGAAATTTCAGTTAAGTTTTTCACATTAATATGCATCCCAGTTAACTAACAACATTATAACAATAAATTATAAAAAGCATGGATTCTAACCACTTTGTCCTCCTTTGGGAAAGCATCCAAGGAAGCAGAATAAAAAGAGAAAAGAAAAAAGAAGAGATAAAGAATAAAATAGGCAAGTGTTAATAGACAGATTTCAAAGAAATGCAATTCTAATAACTCTCTATGAAAAGACAAAAACACAAAATTAAAGGGAAAAAAAGAGTTTTAAATAAAAAGATGACATTACAGCATATGTTGAAAACATGTTTTCCCACCCTGACCCACAGAAGCATAAACAATATAAGAAACAAAACGCAAGTTACAAATGAAATGACACTCTTCCATTTCTGTGGCTTGAAATAGGGGCTGAAAAATTGTTAAAATATATATTCAATTTTTTTTCTGAATAAAGTTAAGCTGTGTCACATGCACTCATTAATAGAATAAAGTAATACATCAAAGTAAACTATATTTTCAGAGACTTGCTCTGATGACACCCTCTACAGGTGACACAATGCAATGCATCTATTTTTACTAATATTAATACAGGCACATTTTCATGTAGTTTTCTTCAGCATGTGAATTTAATTTAATTGACTCGCAGGTACATCCATGCTATGGAAAACCTCTAAAATAACTATGAAATGCATATTTTTGAGGGGTTATTTTTGGTTTACATGAAATTTCAGAAGGCCTATTCAGCAGATGTCCATCTTAAAGAAAGTGAAAAGGCCACAAAATAGTTCCCTTGTGAACACAACTATCTGTTATACAATCTGCATTCACTTTTAAGTGAATTTGTGCTGATACCTATAAATTCTATAAAGAACACCTATAAATTTACCCTACAAAAGCCTGCCATCTTAAAGCCACACGAGAAAGTTGCCTCATCTCATGACAGAAAATGAAACTGTTCATGTAATAAACTGCAGGAGCAGTCAGAGGTTTGGAAGGGACTGACTGACCAGAGGGTACTCTTGGATAACATCTGGCTTTGTGGAAAGCTGCTGCAGCTAACCCATGCAGATCAGAGGGAGAACCATTCGGTTCACTTACCTGAAAGCACAATGCTTAATCCAGACTAATATGAAGTTTCATTCTTCAAATAAATTTTAAATAAATTGGCATAACACTTTTCTGTGCTAAGAAAAGTGGTTGTTTTTTGGTTTTGTTTAAACCAAAAAAATTGACTGATTTCATGTAAAAGCAATCTATAAATGTTTATGACACGCTCTAAGAAAATAAAAATGTAATATTAAATAAGGCTTCAATAAGAATTTATTAATGTGGAGTTGTACCTGAGCAAAAGGATTTCTTCTTTTATTCTATGAAAAACAGGTATATTTTCTACAAGCTTTCATTCCATAGAACTGGGCACTATTATTCTTTTCCTTTAATTAATTCTGTGATTTCCAAGTACCTTGGCAATCATTAAATACATTTGCTTTACTTGTATGATTTTACATTGATTTACGTGTATGATACACACATTATAATGAAGCAATGAATGAAACATTTCAGTAAAATGAAGCACGAAATGCCCAACTTAAAGTGAATAACCTGCAGCAGGACAATGTCACGAGGCTTCTTCTTAAGAGTACACATCAGAAAACTTACATTGTTTGATCGCAGAGAGACACGACCTCCACACCGAGCACAGAACTTGGTCCGGCAATAAGAGCATAAATGGCCACAACCATCTGCAAACTTTGTTTTATGACAGATTCCACATGTTGGAGCATCATCCTTGTGCTCTCCCTGGTAACGGCGGGCTTCTTCCCCTATCTTTCTTACTTGCTCTTTATAGCTTTCAAATTGTTGATGCAACCTCCTGCATAGATGAGAAAAAAGTTTATATAGCATGAATAGGAGGAAAGATTACTACTCTGTAGTTCTTTCAGTTTGCAACTCCACCTAATATTCTGGGCCTGTTCACAATACTACACGTACCTCATATCAAATACACACTGCACACAGAAGACTGCATAGGAAAATTTACAGGAAAAAAAAATAGACATCTTTATTCTTGAAAGTTTACTTCAAAAACTACAAGTAAATCATTTCAATTGACCAGAAATTGATCCAAATGCATATACCAAATAAAATGCCTACCATGTACTGAATAAAAGAAATAATTGTGTGATCAAATTTGCATCTTTTTAACCAACTTCATTTATACATCAGGTGTAATCAAAATATGTAAATAAATCTCCAGTTTCAGTGCTTTCAAAATCTAGATTACTAACACATGTAACAAACATTTCAAAACATGGTTCACAATGACCTTACAAGAACATGACAACATCTTTTTATTTCAAATGTATATATTAACAATCGGTTGTGTTTTCTCTTGTTAAGTATGAGAGACTACTTAACGCTTGCTACCCCTCATTACAGATATTTCTTCCAGCTTAGCATTCGAGGTTCCTAGGATGAAGACCAGTGTTGAAAGAAGCAGCACTTCTCCTCCAGCTGTCCCCAACAACAAACACCCTGACGCTATGCCCACCACCTGGAGAAGCATGCTGCTGCACAACAGACTCACCTCCTAATCACAGCTCAAAAAGACCTGAGACAGCCTAAGGAGGAGATTCCAGAAGGGCAAAACATGGTCTTTGCACCATGCTATGTAGAACCCAGGCTTTTCCAGATGTTGCTTCAAATATACATCTCCGTGGATAAAGTTTAAAAATCATGAACAACTACACAGATTATGAATAGAAAGAGGCAATCTTGAGTTTGATAATTGGAAACAGTAGGTGTGTTGTATATAGAGGTCTTGGTGATATCCTTTATCTCTGCTCTGAGCTACCTACTTCCTTAATTAGCACTGACTCACACCATTTAACCAGTGTATTTTTAGTGACACAATTCCATGTTTCTGTGGGCTTGTGCATGTGCGTGTGTGTGTGTGTGTGGAGAACTTGTCTGGAGTTTTAAGGTGTAAATGATCTGTGTTCTTTGTATGAAATACTTTTTTGGTGGTGTGGATATTTTTACTTTAACGTGATATTCAAGCCTAAAAATAATTCAACTTAACTCACAGGAATTGTGGCAAAACACACATAATTCAGTTGGACAGGAATATTATTGCTTGTAAATTGTATTTCAACCAGCTCTCACACTAAAACCAGTAACATCACATGAGTGCATTCTAGTGAGAATGCAGCAAAAGCTAAGTAACTAAATATTCTATTCTCCCTAACTACAAACATGATGCATTATACTTAATGCTTTAGGCAAATCAAAAGCTTGGCAGGAGCAGCAAGAGGGTTTGTTTTGTTTTATTTTTTACTAACCTGCTTAAAAACCTTTGCAGTATTGAGTAAGATGAAAAAGTAGGTCAAAGAATTAGGCAAAATACTGGAGAAACTTAATACTTTTTACCATATAACTGGATTACACATATAAATTAAGTTATCTTACACAGCTTCTCACTTATAATGCATAAAAAAACAGAAGACATTCAGGAATTTTTATAATAACCAGCTTAAAGAATGCAATTAAATAATGGAGAAGTCTGTAGGTAAATTTCTTATTGCATCAAATATTCTATTAAAAAATGAAACCATGGAAACTAAATTCAGTTCTCCTCCACTAAAGTAAAACCAAGAGCCCTGGCTGTTCACTAACATGGAAAGGGAAGGTAACAGCAGGCACTGCCCCTCTTCCTGTTCTTTTCCAATTAGACCATCTTCATTTGAACCTTTTTTTATCTGAAACGAGGCTTAGGAAGAGTATTAACACAATTATATTTCTGTCCTTCTGTGTGCACCAAGGGGTAGATGAACATGCTACAAACTGGGCAAAACTTAAGTGAGATGAGATGAAAGTTCTTTATAAATAAGTGTCACTTGTTTATAGATTTGTTAATTTCTGAATCCATGTAAGACACATTTTACTATGAGGGGTTTGAAATCTTTATCTTTCATATCATACACGGCACTACTGAGGAAACGCTGACATTTTATCTACAGCAAGAACGGAACTGGAGAAAATGATTGCACATTTCACAGAGCAGAAAGAATCTTGCCCTGATCGCAGCAGGTATGGTTCAATTAGCTATTTTTTTAACCACCTTTCCTACTTTTTTGAGGAAAAAGCTGGATCTCTGTATCTTCGGCTCTTCTATAATGGTGGCAGAAAATCCTTCTCAATGGTTTTGCCATATATAGGAGTATTTTAAGCACTAAGCAAGAACTAAAATCCACATGGTAGGTTTTGATTTGCTCCTTAACTTCCAGGCTATTGAGCACATTTTCATCAGATGCAAGGAAAATTTTAAACTATTAAATATTCCTTAATGTAGACAAGCACCTAAAGGTTAGACTAAAGACCTAATAAGAGCATATGATATAATGTCTTGGCAGACCCTTGAGGCAGACACCAATTCAATGCCCTCTATCCGAAAGAGCAACCAGACCACTGTGTAAGACAGATATATGCACACACCCGTGTGATTTTCATCACGCACCCCAACATTTATCTGGTTCTGCTGGTGAAGTGAAGGGCACTTGCAGGATTAGCTTGCTCTGAGACATTACTGCAGCGCTTCACTTGTGCAGACCTCCCAACACTCTGAACAAAAGAGCTGCATCCACACGAGCTGGGGGAGGGCGCTGCTATTTCACACTCACAGACACGGCACATACGCGTGAACAAAAAAAGATCCTACCACGGGAGAATCTTTGGGCACACCACATCTCCTATGACTAAACCACTCTCTTCTGCTGCTAAAATACTGGAAGAGACTGAGCAGCTTGGAGAGGGACATCAGGCTCGGGACTTTAGTGCACCTGTGAGGGGTCAGCATCACCACCCACAGTGCACAAAAGCCAATAAACACCCTGCATGTCTACAGGGAAAGACTTAACCCGCTCACTTTTACAATATACATAGAACCCAACATATGTTCAGTTTGCTGCTGGTTTTTTCTCCAAGAAAACATGATGGCTTCCTCCTCCCTTTTTTTTTCAAAGGTATTTCACCAAAACCCTGCTTCAGCTGTGCTATATATGTACCATATTTTCATTTGAATATTCATTATTTTGACAGTGTAAATGAGATTTCACCAAAACCCTGCTTCAGCTGTGCTATATATGTACCATATTTTCATTTGAATATTCATTATTTTATTTTGACAGTGTAAATGAATAAAAAATTACTGATAGGTAATTCTTCAAAGCTTTACTCACATCTTCATACACTTAGCAAAAGCTGTAAGCCTTGGAGAACACTTGTGATAAATACCTTACATAATTTAAAGCTTTCGGACAGATATAATTAGAAGGACAAACAATGAACATTGAGGCCATTTATAACACTGACTGATCAAAAAGTGTTACATAAACACAGAGAAATTATCATGTATGTTGTTGGGTTCTTTGGAGCTGGACCAAAATGTATATTTATTTTCTTATTATGTTCATTATTTAAACTACAATCGAAAGCTGTATTTTTTAAACAAACTATATTATTGCTTCTTTTGCTATTTTAAATTAATGTATTAAATTATATTTTGCTGTTTCAAACACCTACCTAAATTATTTGCACATATATGCTGAAGAGTAGAAAGCTTCAAAATAGCACATTTGCATATATATACTCTGTATGCACAGATTTTACAAAAGATTTACTAAGATTTGTGTCTCTTTCATGTAGAGTTACATTCTAAACGACTTTAATTGTAGCATGAAATTATATTTTGTACTTCCTTAGAAATCCAGTAGATGGCAATGCAGATCGTATTTTCACTCCCAGTTCAACTCAAATGGTTCAGTCCCAAAATTAAAGACCTGATGTAATGTTATAAAAATATTATGCCCTGTCATGAGTTCACGTTAGTTGAAAAAGTGCCGCCTTCTAAGTGACACAGCCTTAAGTAACTATCCACCAGCAGCTACCGCATGTCTGAAAAAAAGCTTAGTAAAATGCAGTACTTTGTCCTCTTCACCCACACCACACAAACACATCACCACACAGAGCTCAGACAAGTTTTTCCATAAGATAAGCAGGCGTTTTACCAACGCCTGTTCTTGGCATTCTTTTTTTACGATAAATAAATAATTTAAAATGCAAACAGCAATACTGCATATGCCCACGAAGGCAACAGCTAGAGCTAAAAACCTGTTGGTGATCTTTAAGCATCCACATTGAAGCTGTGACCTGAAAAACTTCGTTCAGCTGCTCCATAAAGCTGGAATTACCTCAGTTGCACCAGATGCCTTGCTGGTGTGCCAGCACTGCAGCACCCATCTATCTCATGGAGATGCTTCCAGAGGGAACCTGGCTTTGCCCTCAGCCCCACCAGCACCTGAGCTGGGAAAAGCTGTCAACTTGTCACGGCTCTTGGGAATACACACTTTACACAGTAAAGTCAAGACAGGCCATTTTAGCAAGTTGCTGTGGATAGTTTTGTCTCAATAAAGAGAAATGAGGGGTTTATGGGGAATCTAGCATGTGTTGACAAGAAAAAACAGCTGAAGTTGGGTGGAGAAGTCTAGATATATTTATTGGTTACTTCATGAATCATCCAATGACATATAAATCCATTATTAATATTTATATCCTCTATACAGGTAGGACAAGTTAAGGTTGAATAGTAACAACATATCTAACTCTTCAAGCTCCCAAGTTCTTGATGTAGCAATGTTACTGTGTTAGTCTATTTGAAGTCCAGGATATTTTTAAATGTTTGGGGGTGTGCTGCTTTTTTAGCATGGGCAATACTTGGTTTGGTTATTTCATAAAGATGAAATAACTTCAGGATGTACTCATATTGCAAAATATTGGACTTCTGTGAATTTGGATGTTAATATTTCTGTGTTAATG